TATCATAAAAGAAAGCCCAAATCCCAAGCTGAAGCAGATTAACACGGCTTCACTGATATCAGTGGAGCTCTGCTGACTCCCATGAACTAAGGACCAGGCTCTGTGTAGGACATGACCAGGTCCCAATCTTTAAAAAAGGATGCATTTCTGTTAATGCCTTTCTAGACTACATTCTGTTAAATTAACTGAAGGTTAAAAATATCCACTCCCATAAAACTGTGATTATCATATTAAAACCTTCACTGCACATTTTTTTTAACACTAAGGAAATAATCAGAAAGATATGGGGGATAAGTCTGCTCCAGAATAACTAAATAACAGATCAAGAAATTTAGCCTGTTACTAGCTTAATCCCCCAGGTTTTTTTATTATGTTGAGCGTTGGCTAAAGTAACAATTTCTGGTTGAGGAGGTGAAGTTAGAGCAACAGGGAGGTGTGTTGTTTCGCTGCAAGCATATGGTTAGTAACCTAAGGTGAGAAGTGCCGGAGAAACGGAAGAAGGTTACGGGCAATGGCAGATGGTGGGGCTCCAGGTATGTCATTTAGCACAAAAGGTGACACTAGTTTCTGAAGAAATTGTCCCCCACCCCATAAACCAAAACATGTTAAATGTAAACGAGACGTCACAAATCACAGAACGGAACAAGGAACGGGAACACACGATTACAAGAAGTCACTCTGCTATTCCCCTCCCCTTCTCTGTGCGCTGAGCTTACAAAATAGGGCATATTTGGGAAAATGGGAACAGATGGCACCTTGGGGATAGGGAAGAGAAGCCAGTGGGATTTGAAACGAGCACTGGCCACACTGGTGACGGAGAGAGAGAGGACAGCAAAATGTGAGCAAGTTAGAAGAGGGGGAAGCGAGAGGATAATGGTGGCAGCGCTCGTTAGTTAACCTTTTTCAGGGAAGGAAATATTTTACTGGACTCATCACCAAGATCTTTACAGTTAAGTAAAATAATGCAAGGCTGTTCTTACTTGTTGATGTTTGCAAGGTAAATATCTGCGACGTGGCCCCCACTTGGGCAACTGGCACCAGCTCTAGCCGTCACTTTTTCTTCCGGTGGCTCAGAATTTATTTCTATTTCAGACTTCGGACTGGATCTTTCAGAGATACCATCCTCACTAGGAAGGAGGAGTGAAGGAAATCACAACCAAACCAGGACCAACAGCACTGAATTTGAAATACAGCACTGTATGTGAGCATACATACAGGACAACAGCACTAGGCTAGCATCTTTCTCTTAAGAATTAATACATATCTTTCAAACGAGAGCCTGATTTCTGGGAGCAACCTGGAGACCCCAGCTCTGCAACTTTACCAGGCTGGCAGCACCAGAACAATTTTTATATCACGCCTCCACATAGGTGGACACCTACGCCTCTGCGGAGCTCTGCTGGTTCCCTTCTGGCAGGGAAGGCTGACGGAGGAACTCTCCCCGCCTGGTGTCAACAGCTTGACACAAACACTCCATTCCACACCTGCGTTTTAAGCAAGCCCATCTTGCAGATGGGCTTAAAGTGTAACATACGTGTCTTGAACGACGATATACTGATGAGGAATAAGGCCGTCAATTCCATTGTGGCGTCCCTCCCACCAGTCATCTGAGGCCCGCTGATAGAGTAAGAGAGAAGCTCCTTTTTTAAAGGACAGCTCTCGTGCAGTCCTGCCAATGTAGTCGAACTTCGCTATTGCTTCTATGGGCTCACACTCTAGGAGATAGAAGGGAATAAACAATAATTCACTAAACACTTGGGCTCAGGTAAGTATTCAACAGTTTAAACCTACCATAACACAGCTTATGATGAGAGCATGGAAGAGGATAAAGTGTTGCTTCGTAAGGCAGCAGAGGGTTGAAGCAGTAGGATTCAGAGGGGAAGCCCTATCACATGAGGATGTTGCAATTTCAGCATTTACCTCATCTCTACGTGGTGGACGCATTCATCTTTTCCAAGTCATAAACCCACTTCTAGCGGTTCAAGTGTACAAAGATGGAAGCGGCAATGGCAAAATTAGTATCTCATTAAAATAAAAAAAAAAAATAATTTCAAAGCTGGGTAGCAATCAGGCACGCTCCAGATAAAAATCTGCCTATGGTAGATGGCTTTCTTAAAGGCAGCTAAATTAAACCTCCTGGGCAGGCAAGCAGGAGTTGTTATTAGCGTTTAGGGAGGGAAACAGCCTCTGACTCCAAGCTGCTTCAGAAATAAAGCGTCTATTCAGAAAGAAATTTCTGCTGCCTGTGAGGTTCACCTGACCCAGGAGACCGGATTCTGGCACCGTGGGAGGCCGTGCTATTCATCGAGCTGTCATGGAAGCGAACGAAAACATTCGGTGCCTCCACCGCTGCGGCTCGTGCAGCGATCAGGAGAGCAAGCGGCTCCCCCGGGCTCCGTACGGCTGGGCTGCACCGTGCACGCCGAGCACAGCGGCGCTGCGCTTGGAGCTGCACAACGTCCTCCGGATCCAACTGCTCCTGCTTGAAAAGCTCACAGAAGAACGCCAGCCATGCTGTGTCTGCAACCAGCCACTAATCCAGGTCCCTGCAGGACTCTGATATTATACAGAGGGACAATGCGGGCATTTAGACACTCGGGAAAAGCAGTATGAAATTCATGTGGATTATTCTTAAGACTTAGAAAAATCTGCCATTGGTTGAGTCTAACTATATATTACGCCAACTCCCAATTCTAGGCAGGGATCAGGGGAACAGAGATGAGCTCAATCACGCAGCCCCGGTGGACTTCGGCCTCTAATTACTTTAAAGGAGCTTTAACACCGCCAAGCGGTCCATGGAAATCGAGTTCTTTCCTGGAGAAATGCGGTTCCTCTTCCTGGACAAGGAAAGCTATGCCATTTCATACTGCATCACGGGAAGCTTCTACAGTGCAAGAGCCAGCCAAAAAGGACAGGAAGGCCAAACACAAGCCACAGCTTTTACAGGTATTCCTTGGGAGAGCATAAATTCAGGAATTAGGTCTCCAAGGCTGCCCCCATAGGCAGGCGAGGGAGTAGCTGGGCTTGAGAAAAGACATCGTGTAAATCCCTGTGAGCGAGCAGATGCCGCAGCAGCGCCGTTGCCTGCGCCCGTCTGAGGGAGCGGAGCAGGAGCATCCCCCAAAGAGCCCCACCAGCTCCGCAGCACGAAGGGACCGAGCGCTAGGGGCCATCAGCAACAGGACCTGCTAGATCGACCCCCGCCAACAATTCATTTCTCCATTACTAAGCCAGACAGCTCAGAATTTTGTCAAATCACACGTTTCAGGTAAGCCTGTGGTCAGCCCCACACGAATCCCATTATCAGCCCTCAGCAGCCAGCAAAGAGATCGGCGAGGGTGAGAAAAGCCTGGCCCATGCCTGCAGCTTGCGAGAGCCGCCTGGCTCCAGACTCCCCGAAGCACACGGTTATCTGGTTTTGGCTCCGTCTTTCCTCTTGCTTGTTTTGCCTCTGGAACCAGCTTCTTCCTAACACTAAAAAACCCAATAATGCTGGGTTTTGGTGTCCCCCTCCATTTACGAAGGGGACAGGAGTGTGGTTTTGTAAATTCCGCCCGTTTCATTAGGAAGTGTTTATTGTTCCAGATGAGAGCGGCACTCAGGTTTCTTATGTTTCCAATTTGCTTTTTAGGACTCTGGCTTTTGTCCAGAGAAGTGATTTTAGACTCTAATTTCCAGTAGCTTTTTCCTGCTACACTTAGGCTCAGAGACGAAAGTTGTGCGAATAAAGAGTTTGGCTAAGCCAAACAGTTACCCTTGCCAGTCTGACAGCCCGGGCAGGAGAGCAGCAGTGCAAAATCTTTCCACCCCCCCCCCCACCCCAAAACTGAATCTTTCCTTCAACGAAGATGGCTGTGATGATGGCTTTAATTTGCGAGGACTAGTGCCAGCCTCATGGAAGAGCCAAAGGAGCCTGGCCACATCTAAAGACTTAAAGAGCGCGAAAAACCTAAGAACACCCGGTCCCCCTGAGCCGTGGAGTTTTACGCTGCACTTCTGACAAGCACGCCTGAGGTGTGATGCTGCACAGCTCCATCAGGAGGACGTGAGACTCCTTAGTTCACCAGACCTTGCTGCTCCCTCAAAAAGATACGAGGCCCAGCTCCCTCCTCTGCTTTGGTGCCAAACGCTCCCTCCCAAACGCTTCCTATGGAATATTCCGTGTAGGTTGCAGAACTCCATCCAAAACGCCTCCAAATTTTACCTTGCTCAGGGGCCCCACACAATCTAGTTCCAGAGGCTGTAAAACAGTGTCCTTCTCTAATCTCTAACTGCTCGTTTTCCCATCGCTGTGCCCTCCCAGCTACACAAGCAATCACAAAGTCCCATGTAGAAACAACCCAAGTACACCCCACGGTGTGTCAGCCTGCAGGCTTTAATCCCAGGCTTTACAGATGTGGGAAGAGTTAGCCTTTCCTTCGTTACAGCAATTAAATTGCTCCTTCTTGAGGTACAAACTCAAAAAGGACATGTTTCCATGCATTTTTAAGAAGCTAACACTTTTCAGAAAGAACACTCTGTTCAAGACAGCCAGCGAACCCATGGGTCATTCCCACAGGCTTTGTGTTTCCTCCCAACAACCTTGGTGAGGAGTCGCTGTGAGAGTGCTTGACCTTGCTGAGGGAGAACTGATTTTCCAGCGTTTCCTTTGTTATTGGTGTGTGAACACCATGAAGCCAGCAGGAGCACAGCAACGCCATGGGAAAGGTTTGTTAGGCAACCGCTGGAGGAAAGCGAGCAAAAAGCAGCACAGAAGCACATGGCAGGGCTATCGAGCAAATTCTTAGAGACCAGCTCAAAGAGGATGCCACCTAATTTTAAGGGAATGCCACCTTCCTCCCACCTTTACAACCAAGGCCATCACAAGTAAAACCACTGCAGAACTTAAACAATCACAAGGGGCCAAAACCCAGGAATAAAACCATATTCTGTCCTGGTTTGGTCAGCCTGTTTCACATGCTGGTCAGTATTCTGGGGATCACTGTTTCACATCAGTAAGGTAAAATCTTTTCCTCTGGTCTGGATGGAGCTCACGTGCAGCTGTTCCCCATCGCAGAAAGAGGCTTTGGAAGTATCAACAACAGACACTCCAAGACCGCGGTGTCACCTTTTCCTTAGGAAAGATCATGAAATTCTCAGCGTTGGCACCCTTTTTTTCACTGATCAGACAAAAGGGTAACAGAGTTTGCCAAAGACAATCCAAAAAATTAGAGAGGCCCGCAGGACTCTCAAGCCTAAAACCTAGCTCCTGGTGGAAGACAAACAGGTTTGGATTTTATTTTGCTTGCTTCCTTAAAGCAGAAGCACTGGCGCTTACGGCACTCAACTCCCTTGCCAAAGGTACCGAAAGGGGAGATGCCTGGCACAGGCAGAGGGGAGTGGGAGCACATGCTGACACATATCCAGCCTTTGGCTCCACGCTTCCCCCATGACTTCCAACTCTAGGGTACAGATGAGCTCAAGTAGTCGTGCAAGTACAGAGTGTGCCCAGGCCTGCCGCTAAGATAAGATAGTCTTGAAAAAGGGATACTTTAAAAATAGTCAGGTACCTTCTGAAGATTCCTGTTGATTCCATACCTCTTTACTTTTTGGCATCAAATGCTGTATGCGGTGTTTCAACTGACTACTCTGATTTAGACTCCACTTTGGATCTAACATCAAACTTTATTGCAAGGCACTAACTTCTCTGTCTCCCCCGCAGCGGGCTGCACCAGTTAACCGAGAAGTTAATAGACTTTGCATACCATCATCACTGGTGTGGTGTTCAGCCGTAACGTCCTGAACGGAGTCTTCTGTTGAGGCTCGCTCTCCGTGAGGACTTTCACTACAACAGAAGGAAATAGAGAAGATGCTTTACACTGGTAGAAATTCAGTTTCCTCACCTACAACAATCAGAGATAACTTAACTAGATAACTGACAGAGATAACTTAGACTGGATCTAAGGAAGAAATTCTTTCCAGTGAGGGTGGTGAAACCCTGGCAGGGGTTGCCCAGAGAGGGGGTGGAGGCCCCATCCCTGGGAACATTCCAGGCCAGGTTGGACGGGGCTGGGAGCAACCTGATGTGGTTCAAGGTGTCCCTGCTCCTGCAGGGGGGTTGGGCTGGGTGACCTCTAGGGGTCCCTTCCAACCCAAACCATTCTGTGATTCTAACTAGGAACATCCACATGGGAAGTCAGTATCTAGGTTCCACTGTGACAGACACTTTGCAGATGCACTTGCACACAGCATGTCTAAAAATCAAGCTAAGTTCTTATTTGATCAAGCAAACCAAACATCTTTGTTAACCTTCCTGTATGCTATCAGGAAAGTCCAACTTCAGATCTTAGAGCCCGGACCTCTGGAGATGTTCAGAAGTCAGATAGCAGTGGCATGTTCATTCTAGCTCCCCTCTGCCGTGCCAGAATCAGTCCCTCAGCTGTATTCTCCATTGCTCTAATTAGCTCATTAGATGACTGATGAGATAGCTGCCATTTCCTGGGGGAAATTATTTCTCAATTCATAATGATATTTCCAGGTTTGAGTTTGTCATCTCTCTCCTTCCCTTTTATCACAATCTTAAACCGTCCCATTCATTTCACCGAACGACTCCCATAGCCAGATTAATTGCCTGGAATCTTTATTTACAGATCACCTAAACCACCAAGAGTACTCATTTCTGTTTTGCATGAAGAAAAGCTTTGAAAGGCTCCATAGACAACAAGTGGCAACCAAAAGGTTATGTTTTTGTAAGCAGCTACACGAGCCGCTCCCTCAGGACAGGAGCAGAAAGGAAACTGGAAGAGGATCCGTTGCCTCTCCCAGGCAGCTCCGCAGAGATGCTGCCAGCTGGCAGCGCTGCCTGCCCGGCCTGCTCGTCTCCCAAGAAAAAAAAAAATGCTCACTCCTCATCTTACCAGACGCTGTTGCTAAAGACAAAACGCCTTTGCTGCGCTCTCTAGCACGCTGTAGCTCGTTAGAAGCGATTTTTAGTTCTCTTCACACAGTAATAACGTCATCCCTCGTTTTGGCCTTGCAATGGTTAAAGTAAGTCATCATGGATGTAAAGTAAGTGATCTCGGATGTAAAGTAAGTGATCTCGGATGTAAAGTGTCCTGCCTTTGGTAATCTACCTCCTATACTCTTTTGAAGGAGAGAAAAAAAAAGACAAAGGGGAAGGGGTAAAATGTTTGGATAATTCTGGCGTCTCACTATGCTTAATCCACACGATGCGAAGCTGCCCCACCATCTTCTGAGTCAGTACCTCTGGAATCAACCTTTCCCATCCTTTGCAAAGCCTTTGTGCTACTTAATAAAGTTCACAGAAGAATTTAAGCCAAATGGAGGGCCCAAGAGGAACGCAGCATTGAGGGCTAAAGTTTCATGCGGACTGTGAAGTAATGTCGCGTACAGCCAACGCTGAAGATCCAAATACTGCACCAGGACCACGTGCCTCTTCCTATCCGTGCCTCCAAGAGCACTTTCCACCAAAAAACCTGCCCTTGCTGCAGACTCAGTCTCTGTCACGTGAGCCCCGGGATGCCGCAGCGGTTAGGGCTAGGCTGCTGGGTTTCACCCCGAGGACTCCGAAAGTGCAAGCAATATATACCGCCAGAGGAACGCAATGCAAGTTGAGCATCTGCAAGCTATCTTCTTCCCTGCGATTCCGATGGTCTCACTTGCCGGTATGCAGGACTCCCCAACTCTCCCCATGCTTCTCCTCGTGCAGTCTCAGACGGACAGACAGATGCAGCACGGTCCTAGGCTTGGCTCAAAGGCAGTATTTCAAAGATGCCTGCAGCACAGCCCTGAATTCGTCATAAACTCTGAACCTTGCCCTGCCCTCCTCTGCCCGAGGCAAGCCGTTTCAAAGCTCCTCGGCAGCTGGCGACTCGAAGCGAGCGCCGCTGCAGCGAGAGCGCAGGCACGGAGGCGCGGAGCACGCGAGCCGTGGCGCTGAGCCCGGGCAGCCTCCACGCCAAAGCACCGCCTGCGAGCTCCCCGGAACAAAGACATCTCAGCCCAGTGAAGTGGCACCAGGGTATCACAGACGTAGCGGGCTCCATTCCCCGATGAATCAGCTCAACGACAAGGATTCACTCTGCTGCTTGCACGCTTTGCGGTGAGGAGCCCTGTGGGCAGTAACTAACAACTATCTAAATACCAGGGCTATGAGAAGGCTTGAATGGGAACCAGATGCTTCTTCCTGGCTTCAAGCAGTCTCCCTTGCTTGCTTCTACCCTTCTCTGCTTAATAGGGTCTCAGGTCAGGGTGGTTAGGAAGGGCAATGAAGAAAAACCAAACACCTTCAGAAAACTGATATTAACTTCCAGGACATCTTGCCTCCTACATACTCAGGTCAAGCATCACCCATGCTGAGTGTACCAAACATTTCACATTTTTATTCCCTTCACCTTATGGGACAAAACATAAGAAGTTTCAGTTGAACGTGAGGAAGAACTTCTTTCCTTTGAGGGTGCCCGAGCCCTGGCCCAGGCTGCCCAGGGGGGCTGTGGAGTCTCCTCCTCTGGAGATATTCAACCCCCGCCTGGACGCTGTCCTGTGATTCTGTGAAAACCTCTTGTCAAAGTTAACGCGTTTCCTTAAGGTCATAAAGATTCTTCCATTTTTTCCCCCTACCATTCTTTCACATATAACATCAGCTAAAAACATCAGAGCGAAGGGTAGAATGAACAGAATTTCCACCAGAGGCTCTGGCAAGTCTTCTGCATGCAGCAGTTAGCATAGAGGAGCCTCTCCTCACCGCACGTACGCGGAGTGAGCCGATAGTTAAAGCGACTCTGAAACAAGTCAGGGAAACAAGGCTAGCTCTGTCACCAGAGTGACTTCATTTAAAAAATGTATTTATTTTAGTATATGAAAATAATCATTTGCATTCCTGGGACACTGGAGGAGGGAAGGAGCGGAGGGGGGGAAGCAGGACACAATTTAACATTCCTCATTTTCAGAGAGAGAGATCAGCTTGGCCAGTAGGAAAGAAAACACCTCCTTTCCTTCCCCCACTCCCCAACCTTCCACCCCAGATGACAGGAGCCGCTCTGGCTGAATTGCTTCCAGATGTGGCTTTCAGACTGAACACGCGGCCGGGCCTCTTGAGCTTTAAGCTGGATGGAAACGGTGATTTTGCATTCCTCCCTCTTCCCTCCCCCATCACCAGTGCTGCCCTGAAATTAAACCGTGCCACAGCTTTCTAGGTTCAGTTGCAAGTGACCCCTGCATCTGAAGCAAAGGCACTCGAGACAAGCAGGAAAAAAAAAAAAAGGCAAAAGCAGGAGGAAAAAAAGACAAAAAAGAGGAAAAAAAAAACCCAACTGATTTTGGCTGCTACCTTACCAGAACATCCAAGAAAATCCCTACACAACCTTGCCCTTCAAGATAAGTGAGATAGGCTTGACAACTTGAACAGCGACCTTCTACCAGCTTATTCCTTTCAAGTTGATGACTCTCCAGAGATACCAGAGCCATCTTCTCTTCCATAAAACAGATTTTTGAAAGGCTGGGCCAGATGCTTGAATCCAGAATTAGACAACGCAGAATGCATGACTGTAGCATGCTAATCCGTAAATAAATATCCACCCGTTCGTTTTCCCCTCAGCCATATCTATCATACCAGTAATCCTCGGTGTTTCCACCTCCGCTGTAGACTGGACCCTCCAGCTCCCTTGGTCCCGGGAAGATATTCTCATGTTGGATGATGATGGTTTTGATCAATTCATTGACATGAGCTTGGCAAGAGACTTGATCATGACCTTCAGGCACAGACATCAGTGTTGGCCCAAAGCAGATGGCTAAATTGTAGGGATCCATCATGTTCTCTTCACTGAACTGAGATAAACTGCAAAAGACACAAGTGGGGAGGAGGGTTAACGGCAGAAAACAACATTATCATCATCAGCAGCAGCAGCTGATGGAGAACACACAGCTAGGCTGGGAAGGTCTGCTTTGGGCTTTCCGCTGTTTAAAGCTGATCAGCTAGGACATGAATTTTCTGGGTCCATGTAAAAAATGAGATACTGATGGCATTTACAGCGAAATGCAACAGAAACCCCAGAAGGGAGTTGCAAAGCTCGAGACTACGCAAAAAGTCTTGGGTGCTGACTTTACAAGGGGAGGACATTCTTCTTTAATTTTAGTCTTTAATTGTTCTGTATTATTGCTGCTCATAGCCCAGCACTCAACAGCAGAGTTGTATCAGGTCCTCTCTGCCTAAATGCACGTGATCAAGCGTGCCGAGCATTACAACCTTTCTCCAAGGCCCAGGAGCTTCTCCAGTGGGCCCTTTTCAGGACTCTTCTTCAGGATATCCCAGCAAATCTGAGTCTTATAGTTTCTACATGGTGCCTTTTTTTTAAAACACAATTTCTATCTGACTATATTTTGACTCAAACCTACAAATTTACGCCTTTCAGATACCAATTAGAGATTGAACAGAAAACTAAGTTCCAACACAATTCCCCTTGAAACTCCCCATTTTCTAGATCACTGCCTGGAATAATTAAAAGCTACTGAGACTGGAAAGTCACACATTTCAGTGACTCCAGGAGCAACATCTGTAAAACAACCCTCTGCTTTCCAAAGAGGAATAACCACTTGCATATATGAATAGGTTTAGTGAACGTCCTGCTCCATTTTAATACAAATCTTTTAGAAAAACCTCAAACCCTAACAATATCTCATTTTAATGTAAGGATTAAGATGTTCATCAAAAGCAGCTGATGAACTGGAGCTTTACAAAAGCAGACAGTAAGCCTTGGATCTCTGTCAGGTCAAAATACTGTCTTACAGTTGTATTTGTCTTTCACCTAAATGGTATTCAAAGGGCTTTGACAATGTATATATAACCCTTCTGGTTAGGACATTTTTCCTTCATGCTACATCAGGTATCAAGACCATGCACTGGAGGAAGGTCTTGACTCCTTGATGCCAAGCTATCCAGTGAACCAGCCAGATGCAGTGGAATGTTTTAAAAAAATACTCACTCCCCACCATTCACACTACTTAGTACATAGTGTTCCGTGCTGGTGTGGAACCCCGTTTCCGACTCTTTCAGTATCACTTTTTCCTTGGATTACCAGCACATCAGTCACCTCCATTTCTGGAACTCCTTTGAGATTGCATTCCTATCATTGGGATGAATTTCAGCCCCATGAAAAGCCCAGGACGGCAGATGCCATAGCAGGCTACTGTAGCATTTTTACCTTGACCTGCTGCTCAGATCACACGCAATGTTAAGGCTGGTTCTGCCATTTATCATGTTTATATCAAGTCCTACAGCAGGGCCATGGTGCTCTCAAGGATACTCACTGGCTGAGGAATGCAAAGAGGTATCTCATTACAATCAGAGTGGTCTTCGGCAGGTTCAGAAGCACTTTCCGGATGTGGAGCGCTCTCTCTTGTAAATTATCCATTGCTGAAAGGAAGAAAGGGCACCAGAGTCATCGTGTCACCATACCCACAACTTGCCACTGAGTCCAAATACAACCAGTATACCATGATGTTCCCTGTGCAAGCTATGACGAAGGGCAGCCAGCAGAGCAGCAGCAGGAGGAAGGAAGGGTCTGCCCATTTTCCAGATCCTCCAGCGCTGCCCGGCATGAGAACGCAGAAGCTGCAGAACCTGCTGGTGAAGCCTTTGACAATGAAGGTCCCTGAACACATGAAACTTCACTGCAAGTTCCTTCCTAGCGTGGGAGCACTGGATGTCATCTGTTTCAATAGTTCTGGCACAATAGCTCATTCAAGTTTGCTCAGAAAGGTGGGTGTTTAAAAAAGGAATTGTATAACACTCAAAGGAAAATTAACATAGTTAAAGGGTGAGGCAAAAAGCTCTGTGTGCAGCAGCCTACTGAGAAATAAGTGGGCAGCATAAATCATCTCAGAAGGGAGAACTTATTTGGAAGCAGATTTTCCTTTTCATATAATGTGAATTCAGCTCTGTAAATGCATTTATCAGGAGAAGAAAACCACGAGCCATTTTAGAAGCAGTTATCTTCTGCTTTACTTCAAAGGCTGCCACTGCAAAGGCCATTTCACTACTCAGACAATAGAATCATTCTTCGATTCTGAAGGACATGGCAATAGCCAGGCCATTTAAAATGAGGTTGTTCACATACAAAAAAACACAAACAACCCTCTGCCCACGAGAACCACCTTTAGAAACCATCAGAAATGCTAACAACTGGCCTGTGACTGCCTTCATGATTGATATTCTTTAACAGGAGTCATTGGATGGCCCCTCATGGTGATGAAGCTAAAAGGTGTGTGACTACTGCCTTGCCAGCTAAGGAGAACAGGCAGCAGCACGGCAGGCACACGGGCAGTGCGTATCTATCAGCAGAGAAACCCTGCTGGCGATCCCTGCTTCTGAGAGGGCATTTCTGACACCTTCTCATGAGAGGCCTTAAAGATTATTTTTCCCAAGCAGAGGGTTTTGTTTTATTCTGTTTTTAAAGAATGCTGTCGTAAAGCACTGTCTCAGAAAAATCCATGACACAGCCCTTAAAATCTATTCATTTCTATCTTCTTGCTCATTCATAAAAAAATTGCTATCAGAATAAGGATGGCTGTAAGCAGGTAAATGCCCAGACTCTGGGTAATAGAGATTAGGGTACCAGTGCAACACAAACCCAATCAAGTAACTGTAAAAAGATTATTTTGGATCCAGGAAAAAGGGGGAGGGGAAGAGAGGAAAGCGGAGGATGAGATTGGAGAAATTAATCCTATTTCTTTTCAGATTTTCATATACTTACTGACACAGGCAATCAGATCATGAAAGATATCCTTGGGGAACAGAGGGTGCTCCAACCCTCGAAAATACAGCTTCAGTACTCCTGCTATTGAATCCATGTCATGGTCATTCTGGTCCCCAGCCAATGGATCTTCCCCTTCATCACAAGCAAAGAAAAACAGGCAAGAAAAAGTCACAATACTGCAGAAAAGAATCAGACTGGAAGGATGCACCTCAGCTGGAGAAAAAGATTTATGCAGCACGAAGTTAATCCCACCTACTCCAACCAGCGTGAGTTGAGAGGGATCTCTCCTGTGCATCGCAGTCGAGAAGGGAAGCCTCTAGCAGCAATCTCAGGAGACCTGGGACAGCTTTCTATCAAGCAGATGACAACCTGACACCGGAGCACCTGGCTCACGCCCACGGAGGGTGGTGTTGCTCCTAGAGCAGTAGTAACACTTCCAGGCTCTGTGCTCCAGATATTTTGGTAGGGTGCAAACTTCACAGATCCTCCACGGAGGTGAAGATTACACCAGGAGTGGGTCTTTATGCAAACTCACAACTGAAGCTAAGGTGGGTTCGGTGCACACGCAAGGGGCCACTGAGCATCGTGCCCTTGGCTCAGCAGGATGCAGGCATCCTGTGTTGAATTGGGCGGGGGACGGGACAGGAGAGAAAATTTGTCACTGCAGATATGCCACAGTTTGTCTGTATTACAAACGAAAAGATGCCCGCTTGAGGAGTTGTTCCCTAGGGAAAACTCCCTATCAGATATAATTAGATTTGATGATGGGGCAATCCTCAGATTGAAGCTATATATATCCATTATGCGACTGAAATTACCAAAGCTTGCCTATTATCTTAATAACACACAGGATAATAAATGGGCCAACTACAAAACAGAGCATCATCCTTGATATTAACTGCCACCAAGGGTTCTGGATGAACTAATAAACTGCAGAGACATTATTGTTAACTTTGTCAGTTCTGTATATCATATGCTTTAGAGAGACAAGTGAGATGAATTAAAAAAAACCACCTATTTATTTCTGCATGAGTGCTGGAACAACTGGCTATTTTCCCAAGATGACTGGTATTTCCTTCATTTAAAAAAAGGTCTTTCAGCCTATAATACACATTTCTGCTTCCTCTGTTCTTGAGGACTTTAATTCTCAGGTAGATGGAGATGCAGACAGGTGAAACTAGACGTCGTGTTTCATACACGCTGTCCATGAAATGCCTCTCTTCCCAAAAGCAGAATAAACTTGCTACGCCTAAGTAATTACTGCTTGTCTCTTCCACCAGCAAGCATAGAAACACACTAACTGTATTCTTTGAGAGTGATGTATTCAGGGAATTAACATGAGCCCTGTCGTTTCCAGTGACCCAAGCCAGCCCGGGGAGACGGGCTGCAAGGGCTGCTTGAGGAGCAAGCTCTTCCCAACCTGCTCTGCTAGGGAGAGCAGCCCAGCTAGAAGCTGATGAGTCAGGAGGCTCCCAGCCGTTCTTTGCCTTTGTATGGAATGGTTCTTCACTTAGAAAATCAAATCTATTAAAAGCTATGTCAAGTTAGCAGTGTCTTGAAATTTACTTTCTCATTTGCTGATATTTAGAATAAATGTAGCCAAGCTGTGCCTCGAGAACATGGAAAACACAGAATTTCATCCTCTAGCAGCCAGCCTACTCAGAAAGAGCTGGGGGGAAGAGGGCAGGAAAATGCAGTTACACCCAATAATGAAATTCTTTATGTCCTTTAGTGCTACAAATAATCAAGAAACTACCAGACATGAGAGGAGATTGAATTCAGACTATTTATTATACAGACACTCTATAAGATATAAAACGTAACGCCAAAAAAATGAGTATTCCAGGTTAATGAGCACTAGGAAAAGTGTTTGGGCTTGCCTCACTTAGCAAACAAAAAAAAAAAAAAAAAAAAAAAAAAAAAAAAAAAATCAAAGGAACCAAATATAGCAAGTTGCATTCAAACCACACCATTTCAGAACATTTAAACAAATTAATATGTTTGGCAATGATTTCTGAGATACTCCTTACCTCTCTCAAATGCATTTTTTATGTCATTTACTTCGACTTGTGACCCAGACACCCTGAATATCCCTTCATGCTGCAAACCTGTAAGACAGTAAGAGACACTGATTAACAGTGAGAAAAGATAAGCTGGCACCTTCACCAGCTACAGCATAAATGATAAA